ACCAATTACATGCTGCTTTGCGGTGTTTTTAGCCAATACAGAGTAGGATAATCACTTTCATGCAGCTTTTTCGGGACGGAGGTAGTATTTACTACCCGCGTGAACGTAAGTTCACTGTTCCCGGTCTCAAAGGGAACGATTTGCTACTTAGAAGCTAGTAGTTTTAAGACTGCTGTATTTATAGGTAAGCTTAGCTTGGTTTCTAATACAAACTATAAGTCACCTTTAGTAAAGCTATGTAGATATGCAATGGTTGGCTCCCAGAGCCTCTGGTACCATGTACCAGGTATTACAAGAGTGACAGGTCACTTTTCATGTAACTTGGGTACACTAGATTGTACCCCGTTACAGCCAGCCAGGTAGATACATTGGTCAAGTAATGGCCGCATTGCAATCGTACTAATATTCCTACTTGCACACATACATATTTCCTTGCTACCTTGCCTTCTTTTTTTTGCATCCTTTCATCAAGAGAGCAACACGTACGTCAGCATCACATTGACAGGCTCATTCTAGTTTTTAAACTTTAATATATCCACGAAACTCATTTCAATTTACACCAACACCCTCGTGGTGTTGATAGCCCTTCAGAATACATGCACGTGACTCCGCATATTAACGGGCTACACTAGAATTTTGTATGGGCACGAATGGTGTGCGCCACATAAGTTAAAGTTGCGAATTAATCCTTATAGGCCTGTGCGTACTTCGTAACCGAAACCACTACCAGGAAAATTCTGCTACGTTGTACAGGCTCTCACTTCCGGTAGGGGTATAACTTAATAACCTTTGACTGATTTATAGTATCAAATTACGCAGGAAAGGTGAGGTCCACAGATCTCGGTTCGAATTAAGGTGCGAAAATTTCCTAGCTATTGGAATCGATGAAGAGAGCGCCACTATGCGCATCCAATACTGTCACAACGAGACGAAGTGGGCATGCGTTTGTATTTGCTTCGGAGACGGCACGCCTATTCGCATGCATCCATCACGATGGATATGCCTGCAGATGAACAGCTTTCCTACCTGCTAAACGTAATACATTATAATCACTTCTAGGTCTATCGAGTACCACGGTTAGCGGAAGTAAGAGCGGAATCTATTGTAGTCTTCAGCTTGGCCATTGGGTAGAATCCTACTACATTTTATACAGTGCTGCACTCCGTGTTCACACTTGGGACCTTTGATAAACTTCCGAATATAATGATCCGCTCGCTATCAACGATGAGGTACCGGTATTCATAAAACTCTACTAGTATGGCCTAGGCCGTTTTGATCTGATTCCGTTCATTACGACAAGCGAAACGTGAAAATTTATCAGAATACACCAGCTGTTCCGCTGATGTGCGCTTCGTTGTGAACTGAGACTCATGCACCGACGGAGAAACCAGAATTTCAGGCCCTGGTTTAATGATGGCTCTTATTATCCATGTAATAACAAGTGTTGACTGCATGTATTTTGCGATCGATGATTGCCTACCCTAACCTGGTCTCTCATCTTACTGATCTTCTTCATCGTTCCCATACGCTCGCACTCAGTACCTGCGAGCCGCAGGTACACTGAGTAATACATAGTAGTACTTCGAAGTATTCATGTTTACCGCTGAAGACAATACAGTATAGTACTGCACCCCATTTTCGCGGGGGTGGGTGGTCCTTATAGGATTTGCAAATACATCAGGTTTTACTACTAAAACCGTTTTAGTAAGCAAATTGGAGGGTATTTACCATAAAGCGTACCATAGGTACATGTAACCACATCTTTATAACCATAACCCCTCCCTTGATATTCTGATGGCAGTAGTAATACGGTAATGTAGAGTAGTCAGTCTAATGAGTTCCTACAGCACTTCAAGAATGCACTTTTGCTGGGATAATGAACGACTGGGGGTCACACTTCGCACTCTTTCCTAACATCCTTAGCGAAGCATACCTATTAGGCTCTCTGCACCAGTCTAACTCGCGCAGCTATAGCTTTCCTGAGTCTTAAACTTAAGCTCTCAGGCTTAACTTCCTATTCGGGCGAAAATAACGACCACTGATCCGTCCTTCAGGTGTTGCAACTGCTCTCCATTTTTCTGAAGCAACAGGAGAGTCGTCTTGCCTAAAGTGTGTCGGGGGAGGTGCCCGTACGCCAACCACGAAGCTGTCGTTCTAAGCGTCGTCGACGAAGGAGAACGGGGAGATATGTGATTTAACGTCCAATTCGTTTTCGCTTCGTTAGTTTCTGCTTAACCACCATCTGTCATTTCATCGCATAGTTTTAGGACAACTACTACATTTTTTCATTCTCAAAGTCGTATTCGTGCTGTAGCTTTAGCTCTTAGAGCTCTCCTTTAAAATAATACAGTACCACAACTTGTTTGTGCCTTAGAAGGAAGACAAACATCAAAAATAACCTGACAAGTGAATGCACTCCTTCTCGCACAGATTTCTACGGAAAAATATCGTCGTGATCGAATGGGCTCATGCAATATACACTGTATTCATTCGGCTTTCTCACTGTCGTTGACTCGCAGCTCTGCGCAATAAGCATCACAGAAATTCGGTGAAACTCACGTTTGTTCGGCAAGGTCAAGTTCGCGCCGATAGCTAGATGGTATTGCATGTAATTGATTGAACTCGGTGAGTAGTCTTTGAGCTCATAATCTTTGAGGGGGGGGGGGGGAAGAGGGCATCTCGTGCGAAGCATCTAGGTAATATCAATGTTTATAAGTTCAGCTAATATACTACCCTCATATCTATCCCCCACGCAGTTCTTGACATACCGGCATCGACTTCTAATCTACATGTATCATAGATGGCAAAACAAACACACTGCAGGCGTTGTCGAAAATTCCCTTCCCGTAAAATGTTTGGTTTTGTCATGTGTACCCTACGGTACACAGCATTTTTATCAACTGGATTACAGTATGGTA